AGTATTGTCCTAGACATTGCAACACATTTGTGTTGGCACAGTAGAAACTACAGGAAGAATTGCCCCTGCTGAAGAATTCACCATAAGACATAAAGGAAATAAAGAAAATCATTTATCCCTCACTGATTTAACTAATTAAATTTCATTACTTGACAAATGGTGCGCAATTGGGTGACAATATGAAGTCTACTGGGAAAGAAATATCCGAAAATCCACAGGGTACAAGAACAGCTCAAAAGTAATCTTCACATTGGTCTTCACAATGAAAAGACTGACTTAGGTTGGGTCATAACAGGTGCTCTCCTTGCTTCCGTAAGAAGCAGTGTTTAAACAATCGGCACACTTGTCAAACACTTGTAGAAAGAGTTCAGAACTCATTTAATGAAAACACAAAAGAGATACCCATTTCGAAATAAGACTGTCTGTGAGCAATCAAGTCCACTTCGCAGAATCATCTCAGCAGTGCCAGTGAAACAACATCTGAAACTACTACTGACATTAGCTACCATAAATCCTTAACAGGTGACCAGGAATCCACTAATATCAAGATCCTGCACTGTAATACTGATGGTCATCAGCTCATGGACTGTGTAACTACTGATTCTAAATCACTATCTACTACTTCAGTAGATGCTATAGAGTTGCTCTCAGAACACCAGCTGCTACTTCAGATTATTCTTGTCATGAATGAAACTACACCTGGCAACTGCAAAACAGTAACGTGTCTTCACATAGAGAATCGCAGCAAGTGTTTCAAAGACATTTACGGTACTCTACATTCCTGCAACACAGTCCCGACCTATACTAAATTTCATCTATAAATTTGTCTATCAAGATCCAAGCTGACATAGCTGACAGCTTAAGCATCACACCAGGAACTTTGCTAACACAAAAAGGCCTAAGAAGTTCATCAAACTCATTTTCATTGATCATCATGCAAGAACGTTCCTCATTTCACAACTTAGAAGCAGAGCCTTCTGAGGACAAACTTTAAGACCCCTTCCACAGGGGCCAGGTTTGTTTTGCTTAGCGGGGGATTTGTCTTATGCAGAGCGGACATGGACACAGTCCACTCTGCTATATGGGCAGTCATATGTAAATGGCCTGACTGTCATATTACATCCTGCTGCCCTCCGATCCAAACTGGCCAGATGAAGGGGAACAAATCCCCTTCCTTTTTTTGCCAAATCACATCGGAGGTAGCAGGGTGTAAAAGAACACAAGTCTGTTTACATCCGACTGCCCATAGAGGAGAATGGAAGGTCCGACTGGACTGCTCAAGTGAAAGGGGCCTTAAGAAGGACCTTTAAACCAACTAGAGAGGCTCCCCAACCCTTACCTCTAACTTGACAAGCTTTCCATCTGTTTCAACTATTATATCTGCAATGCTACAGAATTCATCAGAAAACTATATTACATCGCAACTATCCATGTACACACTGTATGTTTGCACGTTTTTCATTTTCTCGTATGTCTTTCAGGTCCAGAGAACATCTGAGAAGTCATTGTTTAAAGACTTGGCCTCATTCTCTGTTATAGTAAAATCTAAAAATTTCAGTTAAGTATTGTTCTGTCCCACTTATGATGTTGATCATTTTGTTATTGATATTCTGATGTAACTGCCAACTAGTAATATTTCAATTCCACTACAAGATGTTTATCTTCTGTATTTGGTATTTCCTTCTGTTCTCCCCTACTGTTTTAGTGCTAGTCAGTTTAGTCCCAGCTTCTTCCATGTCCCTCAGTCAATGTTAGTCATCACAAGGATAAAGTATAGAAAGTCATTGTTTGTTTTTTTTACACGTCAAAAGACTGAAAACATCCTTTGTACTGGATGTATGTTAAGTAAAACTATGTTGAATTCAACTTTGTCTTACTGAGGAGTTAAGCTGCCTGTGGGTGGTGCCAATTCAGTAAGTGATCATACTGATCGTATATAGACTGGGTCTCAGGAGTTATGTCATTGCATATATCTGCACTTGAAGCAGAACAATAAGGCTGAACTCGAATCGTAGGATGTGTGATAAAAGTCATGTTTAAATATATCTGTGCATCCTGGCACCTTTCAGAATATATTCTTACTTTACTGTAGAAACTCTGATCTCTTGCTGCTGGGCTAAGGACTGGGACACACAACTATTTTAACCTCCAATATGCCTTCCTTTTTCCTTGGGTGCCTATCTCCCATGGCCACGAGGGTTTTTCTATCTTTCTAGTCTTTAATTCAATTTACAGAATAGAGCTTCTTCTCCTGTCTGTCTGGTTGGTATATGTTGTTATTTTAATTCCCCAACTTGTTCCAGAAATTCATAAAGACTATGCCATTTAATAAAGAACTTACTCTCCACAGTGAGGTGTAAAAACAAGTGTCTCTGTCTCCAACTTTGTGTCTCCTGAGCAGGGGCGGACTAACAACTCATGGGGCCCCTGTGCAATAGGGGATCATGGGGCCCCTGTGTCCTTGCCCAAACTCAAAAAAGCCTATGAAAACGGTACCAGGGGCATCTCATGGGGCCCCCTACTGACCCCGGGCCCTCGGGCAGTGCCCGAGTTTCCAAATTGTCAGTTAGCCCCTGCTCCTGAGCCTTCTGCAGGTGTTGCCAAACTGGAAGCATAACCCAGGCAAGTCTGTCTTGCATGGCTGAGATATGCTTTACCACATTCTTGAAGGGAGTATTCTCATTCTCCCAGGTTTTGTTCAAAATATCTAACAACCCTTGGGGAAGACACCCATACAACAGTTCAATGAGCAAAAACCCAGTGCCATACTGTGAGACTTCTCTAATCATAAACAACAAATAAGGCAATAGGTAATGTAATCCCAGTGTATCCCTTCTTTGTCCACCACCTAATGTATAATGATTTTGAAGGTTTTATTAAACCAAATAGTCCTCTGACCATTCTTGCCGCCTCCTCTTTTGTGGCTTTGCAGGTGGTCAGGACAGCTATTTTTTGAACTGGTTGCTATTGGAGATGACCTCTTGGTTGTTAGGGATCTTGAATGTGAATATATAGCCAAGAGATCCTTAGTGGCAGAATAATGTTCCATCTGTTGATTAAACAATTTTTGATCAGCTTGGCTAATCCACTTTCACACAGCTTTGGAGATAGAGCCCTCGGAACTGGTCCATGGTGACCTGTGTCCATGATTTGTGGAGTGAAGGACCTTAGCCTGTAGCTTCAGTACCCTAAATGAGGTTGTAACCCACAGACATCGCAGGATCTCTGATTTTGACTTGTCATAATCATGGGCATCATTATATGTACAGGTCAAAGTAGGACGTTCGGGAGTCTCCTAACAACAGTGGTGTGATGAGCCCTGTCCACTGTTCTTTGTGCAAGGCCTGCAATGCATCAGTTCTCTCGAAATTACATAAGAAGACCAACACAGCTTCTTGGGCTGTCACCCTTTGTAGGGGGTCAAGCTCCATTTCTGACCAGGATATTTTGCTGCTGTGCCAGGTTCTGCTGATAAACCTAATGCTGGACAATAGATTTAATACCTTTATCTAACTTCTCACGGTGTGCTATAAGTGCAGTGTAATTCACTTTTGCACTGTGTGACAGTACAATATCTCCCGAATCTGGTTGGTCATCTTAGCAAGGCTCATTATTCTGTGAGCATTACAGCATAGTTTCCCCTTGTCTGCAGACTCTGTAAGTCGGCATACATTCACATCAGTGTCCTTAGAGACCCCTAGCATCAGAAGCCTCAAATCCCCCTCACATCAAAGTGCTCAGAGCCCCCCACATCAGTGTTCTCAGTGTTCCTCACTTTAATGTTCTCAGAAACCCCCACACTAGAGTCCTCCAAGTGCCCTTCGCATCAGAGTCTTCAGAGCCCCCCTCACTTTGATGTTCTCAGAACCCCTCACACCAGAGTCCCCTGAGGCCTCCTCACTTCCATGTCCTCCAAGCCCCTCACTTCAGTGTCTGCAGAGAGCCTCTGACATGAGAGCTCCCAGAGCCCTCCTCATACCGGTGTTCTTAGATCCCCCAACACCAGATCTGGGATTGCAAGTGAGATCAGGATATGAGCAGGCACTATGTTTCAGAGAACCTCCTTTGTCAAGTGTGCCCAGGAAGGAAATGAACCAGCTTTTAAACCAATGATGACAGCAGAATTAGGAGCAGTGGCAAGCTGGCAAGGTAATTACAGGAGAAGAGCAAACAATGAGCAATGCTTGGTTCAGTGTGACAGTGGGGCTGACTGAAAAAGCTCATACAGTGGGGACAGAGTATAAGAACTATTATACATATACTGTATAATATACAGTATAACATATAAAATATATATATAATTATAATATGTAATACATAAATTCATCCTGATAATCATCATCACCAAAATATTATGCATCAGTAATATATGGGGAAAAAAAAAAAAATATATATATATATATATATATATATATATTCAATAGACTATTACATAACTGGCATAATTTTGGAGGACATGATTATTAAGGATATAATTATAGAGAGGACTAAAACATGGAATCATAAGTATTTCATATAAAACCAATGTAAAATTCTATATATAAAAAATAATGAATTAATTTAATTGTCTGAATAAGTGCTTTACCTCACTATGGAAAACCAATGGATTTATACCAGTGTAGCAGCTATCACACCACATTTATCTTCCACGTAGGGAGCATTTTCTACACTTTCACTCACAGTCAGTGAAAAGTCCGTGAGATTGGCTTTTGTTATTTTGTTAGGGGAAATAACTTGGATAGCGTAATAGGGATTGTGGGATGCCCAAGTTAACTGAATCAATGCAGAGGGACAACTTCCTACCTATGTACAGAAACAGATCCTGGACTGTTCTTTTCCTTGAAAGCCGTCAGTCTTTGCGGATCAATAGCAACAGCCCCTTAAGTGCAAGGAAGTCACAGCCCATCTGAAATCAACTTAGTTTTTTGTAAACTACATGCAGAGATGTCTCCTCTCCCCTGTAAAACTGCTCCCAGTGCCACAGCCTTCAGGCAGTACCAGCCAGGGGCGAACTGACAACTCATGGGGCCCCCGGGCAATAGGGGATCATGGGGCCCCTGTGTCTTTGCCCAAACTGAAAAAAGCCTATGAAAAAGGTACCAGGGGCATCTCATGGGGCCCCCTACTGACCTCGGGCCCTCGGGCATGTGCTTCATCTTGCACATGCACTATTATGCATTAAACTCATTTAAAAAAAAAAAAAAACTTTCTCCCCAAGATTTCAGGGAATACTTTTTTTTTTAAACAGATGAATGTATTGTTGTATAGCACGGCATAAGGCTAGGTGCATAACATCATGCACTCCATTTCACACACATGCATTATAACAGAAATGTTCAAAAATGGTGGCAGTAGAGCAGAGGCACAGGCTACACAGAGGCAAACTGAAAAAAATCACAACAAGAAAGAAAAGCATCATGTACACAGGTAAATATACTTTTTTATTTACATTGTTTAATATATGATTGCAATTTTGTGTAGAGGATTGGATGGAAAGGTCCCTCCTTAGGCTCGCCATACACTAGTATATTTTCAAATGAATAGAAGACAAAAGTCCATGAACATCCCAGGGTCACAGTATCAGACACTTGCTTAGGTGCAGCCCTCTAAAGATCGGGAAATCTTGATATTACTGAAAGAAAGCAAAGAAGGGGCACACTCTCCTCGTGCATTACCTTAATAAAAAGGAGTTTTTTTTAAAAATGACAAAAAATGCATGTTCACAAATCAAGATTCATAGACAAACTAGGAACCAATGTGTCAGACCGAGCAACCAGTATTCTAACAGCAAGGTGGCTAACGCGTTTCGGGAGACATACGCCCTGAAGAATTTTTCTTCCAATTTTCAAATGAATGTTTGTACAGATATTTGCATGAACATTCATACCTAAATTCTCAGTACATTTGATGACTTGATTAATAGAAGGTTCGTGAATGCACTCCAAGATATGCCATGTCACTATTTACTGACTCAGATATATTGTGTCAAACCCCCTTATGGGACTTTTAAGGCACTCAGTTGTACAATTTATACTAAAAAATTTCATGTACATTTTATTTATAAAGTTTAAAAGGATGAAACACACAAATATATGGCTTTTAGTACATACAAATGGAGTATACATTATAGCTTGTCATAGGCGGTATGATCATTATGATGTATTTCCGTTCACCCGTCACATTTCAGAGATACATAGCTCCTTCCTCAGGGGTATCAGAAATTCCACATCTCTAAAATGCAGTTATACACGTTGAAAAACCAAAAATATATATACCCTGTTTCCCCTAAAATAAGACCCTACCCAGAAAATAAGACCTAGTTGTGATCAGGGCTTTTGTTTAGCCGGAACATGGCGGAACGCCATTCTGCCACCTCCGCCACTGGCCTTGTGCACACCCATATCTACTGTCTCTTATAAACACAGAAGCGTGGCTGAAGTGACAGCACCATCCACTCCCACAGAACCTCCCTACCTCTGTACTCACTGTGGGACAGGGAAGGAACAGATATCTGCGGGTGCAGTATGCAGTGTGTTTAGGGGTGGGGCATCTCCTCCTGCAGCCTAATGCATGGAAGCTGATGCCCCATGGGTGATCACCGGCCAGTGGGGGGACCCAAAACGGGAGTTACTATAGAGAGGGGCCGGCTGCTGACAGCTGTGTTTTGCAAAGCTAGCTAACCATATGAGGGCAGTGGAGGGGGAGGGGGGATGTGTTGCAGAGGTAAATTGAGTTAGGTGAGCTGCAGACAGGGTGCATAGGTGAGCTGCGGCTGGGTGCAGAGGTGAGCTGAGTTGCAACCCACCTTTGCACCCACCAGCCACAGCTCAGCTCTGCACCCCTGGCCACAGCTCACCTCTGCATTCCCCGTCTGCAACATACCCCTGCACCCTGTCTGTGGTTCATATCTGCACCCTGTCTGAAACTCACCTGTCAAGTCACCTCTGCAACACCTGACTGCAGCTAACAACTGTCATCAACGGGCCCTCTCCATAGTAACCCTCATCCACAACTGCCTGCAGCTCACCTCTGCACCCCTGTCCACACCTGGACATTTAAAAAATTATTACCTACACTGAAAATAAGACCTAGTGTTAAATGCTACTTCACCTCCAGGACTCAATGAGGCAGTTACTTGCCTTTTTTGGAAGGCTTTGTCTCAGGAGGACTGGAAATATGAATGTTTGCTTGGTTTTGCCAAACGATTTAGCAAACATATATATCTATTATTGTGAGATCCTATATAACACTTTGACAGCTGTAGACTTTTGTAAACATCATTTTGTAAACATGTTTTAATCTGTATTCTTTGAGATGTACTTTGCCTATGCATAGCTTTTGTTAGTTTGTGTGCTATAATGTATACTCCATACAGTTAGGTCCATATATATTTGGACAAAGGCACCATTTTTTCAGGTATTTATCAAAACATATTCAAGCTATAGTTATATAATGGATATGGGCTGAAAGTGAACACTCTCAGGTTTAATTTGAAGGTATGTACATCCAAATTGAAGGAAGGGTTTTGGAATTACAGCTCTCAAGAATAGCCATCCCCCCTTTTTCAAGGGATCAAACTGTGTATAAAAATGGTTGCAGTTCCTAAAATTTGTACTTGATATTTATGTTCAACCCCTTGAATTAAAGCTGAACGTCTGCACTTCAAAATCATTTGGATTATTTCATTTTAATTTTTTCTGGTGGCATACAGAGCCAAAAGTATGAAAATTTTGACTGTGTCCAAATATACAGTGAGGAACAGAAGTATTTGAACACCCTGCGATTTTGCAAGTTCTCCCACTTAAAAATCGTGGAGGGGTCTGAAATTCACATTGTAGGTGCATTCCCACTCTGAGAGACAGAATTTAAAAAAAAATTCAGGAAATCACATTGTATGATTTTTAAAGAATTTATTTGTCTTGCACTGCTGAACATAAGTATTTGAACACCTAAGACACAGCAAGAATTCTGGCTCTCAAAGACCTGTTACTGTGCCTTTAAAAAGTCCACCTCTACTCCACTCATTAATCTAACTTAGTAGCACCTGTCTGAGCTCTTTAAAGACACCTGTCCACCCCACAGTCAGCCAGACGCCAACTACTACCATGGGCAAGACCAAAGAGCTGTTAAAAGACACCAGAGACAAAATTGTGGACTTCCACAAGGCTGGAAAGGGCTACGGGGCAATTGCCAAGCAGCTTGGTGAAAATAGATCAACTATTGGAGCAATTGTTAGAAAATGGAAGAGGCTAAAGACGACTGTCAGTCTCCCTTGGACTGGGGCTCCATGCAAGATCTCACCTCGTGGGGTATCACTGATGATAAGAAAGGTGAGGAACCAGCCCAGAACTACAAGGGAGGAGCTGGTCAATGACATGAAGAGAGCTGGGACCACAGTTTTCAAAGGTCACTGTCGGTAGAACACTACGCCGTCATGGTTTCAAATCCCCTGCTCAAGTCATCACATGTCCAGGCCCGTCTGAAGTTTGCCAATGACCATCTGGATGATTCAGAGGAGGCATGGGAGAAAGTCATATGGTCAGATGAGACCAAAGTAGAGCTTTTTGGTCTAAGCTTCAATCGTCGTGTTTGGAGGAAAAAGAAGGATGAGTTGCATCCCAAGAACACCATCCCTACTGTGAAGCATGGGGGTGGTAACATCATGCTTTGGGGGTGCTTTTCTGCGAAGGGGACAGGACAACTGCACTGTATTAAAGAGAGGATGAATGGGGCCATTTATTGTGAGATTTTGAGCAACAACCTCCTTCCCTCAGTCAGAGCATTGAAGATGGGTCGTGGCTGGGTCTTCCAACATGACAACGACCCGAAGCACACAGCCAGGATAACCAAGGAGTGGCTCTGTAAGAAGCATATCAAGGTTCTGGAGTGGCCTAGCCAGTCTCCAGACCTAAATCCAATAGAACATCTTTGGAGGGAGCTAAAACTCCGTCTTGCTCAGCGACAGCCCCGAAACCTGACAGATCTAGAAGAGATCTGTGTGGAGGAGTGGGCCAAAATCCCTGTTGCAGTGTGTGCAAACCTGGCCAAGAACTACAGGAAACGTTTGACCTCTGTAATTGCAAACAAAGGCTTCTGTACCAAATATTAACACTGATTTTCTCAGGTGTTCAAATACTTATGTTCAGCAGTGCAAGACAAATATATTCTTTAAAAATCATACAATGTGATTTCCTGAATTTGTTTTTTTAATTCTGTATCTCAGAGTGGGAATGCACCTACAATTTGAATTTCAGACACCTCCATGATTTCTAAGTGGGAGAACTTGCAAAATCACAGGGTGTTCAAATACTTCTGTTCCTCACTGTATATGGACCTAACTGTATATGATGTTATGTCCTAAAAACCAGGTAGGATGTGATTCATCCTTTTAAAACGCTATAAAGAAAATGTACATGAGGTGTTTTATCATAAGTTGTACAAATGAATGCTTTAAAAGTCCCATAAGAGGGTTTAACACTGTATTTGATGACTTGATTAATGTTGTTTGAAAGTAATTAAAAAATTTTGATTGCTTTTAACATTTGATTTTGGAATGAATGTACTTTCCAGAACGAAAACCACATTCACTGTTAGAAAGTTGTTTGTTCAAGAATAATTTTCCATCCTGCTACTTTGAATTTTTCTCTACTAAATTCAAAAATGAATGTCAAAATGACTAATCATTAGGAAAATAGCACATTTTCTTAAAAACTATCAGTTTCTAATGAATTTACACTAGTGTAGGACACCCTACGGTACTTTAACCTGCAGATGTGTATTAGGTTTGGTCTAGTCCTATTCTTTTCAGGGCTGGAATGTGAGCTGGCACTCCTACAATCAGTCATGTCCCATTCTGTTGACATGGCCACTGATCCTGCACTAAGCCTGATGACCTTGATGAGAGGGACAATAACAAGACCAGTCAGAGACCAGCAAGGAGATTGGCAATTTATTTATTTTATTTCAGGTACTTATATATAGCTGTCAATTTACGCAGTGCTTTACATATATATATTGTACATTCACATCAGTCCCTAACCCTCAAGGGGGTTAGGGACTGATTTTTCTTAATGGAGAAGATGGCAGGAGGAGCTTGTCTACATCTTTGGTACAGTTGAGCCCAGAGACCT